GGACTCTTCTTCCTTTCTCTCCTTCAAGGTTCAGCCTTATACCCCTTCACCTGTGAAGCCTTCCCTTGGAGTTTCCAGTCCATAGTACTTGCTTTGTTCTCTGAATTCCTAGACCCTTGTTGCCTCTCTCCCTGCCCACAGTGGTCTCTTGCATGTGTTTCTATTTAGACTGTGGGCCCCCTAAGGACTGGGACCATGCCCTCCACCCGTACATCCCTCTATAGCATTGAACACCGTTCTGGACTATGATTTCCACTGAAGGTACGATGAAAAGAAGAAAGACAGGAAAGATGTCAGGAGACTAACATCTTCCTGTAATATTGGATTGATAGATACAGCACATTTTATCCTTCCAAAGTCTCTGGATTGTGTTTTATAATAAAGTTTAAAGTTTAAACTGTTCAGTAGGCACGACATGCAAAAAATAAATTGCCATTATTATTATTAGCATTTTCTTACTAACAGATTTTTCAGAAGCTGTTTCCATATCAAGAAGATCAACCTTTCTGTTGTCATAGAGACAAAGATCTTTATATATCCATGGGCAAGGTGAGAATATTTTTTTCTCTCTTCTTCCAGTTGTCTGGAACTAATAAGAAAAGGAGAAGGAAATGTTTTAAATCAGTTTTCTTCTTTACTTCCCCCTTCCCCAATGAAAATGAATGAACATGCAGGAGGCTACTTTTTATATCACATTTTAGATTTTAAATACCTAAGTTTTTAATAAAACATGGAAGAGGTAGAAAGATATGAATGATTGAACAGTGCCTTTTTCAAAATTTGCAAACAGTGGGCTTGCCAATAACAATTATAATCCACGTTCCTTTTTCCCCCCTTTTTAAACCAAATAGTGGACTTGAGATGGAAGTCTTACAGGACAGACTTCCAAGGCCTGGAAGATTAAAATACAAACTAGTATCTACTGAGAGGCTGATGGTGAATTCTCAAATGTTGTACAATACTTGCCTCCTCTGACCCCCAAAAGATGAGAGTGCTCCCCCTCTTTCTGCAGAATCAGACCCTGTGCATGATGTTTAAGACCATATCTCTCTTCTTCTCGACTGCCTTATTTCCTAATTTCAGCTTTCTTTTTTTACAAACTCCTGATAATTGGTTATTCATAACATTTTTTCCCTATCTTGTAATTACTGTTTACCATTCCATTCATTCATCGTCAAGAAAAGAGGATTTCAGTAGGAAGCTGTTCACTTTTCCTGTTTTTCATCTCAATGTGAAGTTATACCTTTATCCATCCCCCAGGACTCAGAAGTACCTCTCTTTCTAAGCCTAACTCTCCCCCTATGATCTGAGACTGCCACTTTTCTCCCATCAGCACAGAGATCTTTCTCCATCAAATACCTTCTCCGCCATCCCTCCTATCTTCAGGCTGTCCTCCAGGTATTCCTTCCCTTATTCCTCTTTTTTTTTTAAGGTTTTATTTATTTATTTGAGAGAATGAGTGAGAGCATGAGCAAGGTGGGGAGGGGCAGAGGGAGAGGGAGAAGCAGACTCACTGCTGAGCAGGGAGTGGGATATGATGCGGGACTCATCCCAGGACCCCAGGATCATGACCTGAGCCAAAGGTAGACACTTAACCCACTGAGCCATCCAGGCACACCCCACCCCCCCATCTTGTTCCTCTTTGAAGGCAAAACCGAACAAAACCTTTTCTCAATCCTGTATATTTTCAATATGCATCAGAGTTTGGGCTTTTAATTTGATCACAGCTGCCTTTTGCAATAAATAGGTATTTTGTATATGTGTGTGTATGGAGGGGTGCACGAGGAAGAAAAGTATATGGCATAGGAAGTTGAAAACATACTCTTACTTTCCAAAAGACTGTATTCCTTTATGGAAAGTATAAGATCTTGGTTCTCAAACTTTAACATGCATTAGAACCACTTGTGGAGCTTGTTAAAACACCAGCTTTGCACCGCATCCTCAGAGTTTCTGATTCAGTAGATTGGGGGTGGGGCTCGAGTGTGCATTGCTAACTTTTCCCAGGTGATGCTAATGCTGCTGGTCTAGAACCACACTTTGAGTAAATTTCCTTAAAGTAACTACCCTCCTATCCCTTCTTATATATTTCCCTTGGCATATGGATGGATGTTGAGGTCACCTTATTGTGCCCATAGGGTTCCCACCTAAAGGAGGAGGTCACGTCTCAATTATCTGATCCTCAGAAAACCTGGCCTTGTGTGGGGTAGCATGCTTGCTAACCTAGGGTGTCTGAATGTCTAGAAGATGTGCTTAGTGTGGATACCAAGATAGTGTATGTGAAGGGGGGAAGTTGAGGATTCTCCAGAAACTCAGAGGGATGACAAAGGGTGTCAGAGCCTGGACAGCTTGCTCCTCTTTGGGAGTGGGATGAGCCAGCTTCAGCATGCTTGTGCTGCTCATACTGTGCTTGCCTCTTGCCTCTACCCACAAACCTAGTCAGCCTGTACAATCTTTTTTGAGGGGTTCTAGGCTCCTCTAAACTGTGTTATGGGGCAGTGGGAGAACTATTTTGTTTTGGTCTTTTCACTTCAGCTTTCTCCAGGAAAGAGGTACTCTTCTGAGGCCAACATGGTGTGGTGTGGCAGTAGGAATTGTTGAGAGAGCTAGGTGAAAAGCTGAAACTGAAAGGAGCCGGGAATGTGTGTGTATTTGGGAAAGGGTAATTTTCTCACAAAGATAAGCAAATATAAAAACACATTTAATGGTCTTTGCTACTCAATAGCAAAAGGAGACCTTGGTCAGGTTATTCCATCTCTTTGGGTCTCAGTTTCCGGAAGCCTGTATAAAAGTACTGGGTGTGAGAAAGGCTGTTAGTGGCACAATCATTCCTAAGAGCAAGAATGGGAGGTTTGTCACAGAAGGACAAGGGCTAGGACTCGAAAGGCAAGTTCCATGAATTTGTTGATTGATTGAAACCAATTCCGTCAGCATGGTCCTCAGCTACAGGGAATTGAGCTGACAAGATAATTAATGGAAACTAATTAATATAAACCCTTCAACCTTTAAACTGTATCTCTCAACTGCAAACACTCCCTGAAGGCCAGTAACTTTATTTATTTATTTATTTATTTATTTATTTATTTATTTATTTATTTATTTATTTATTTATTTATTTATTTATTTATGAGAGCACTCTGACAGGAGAGGGGATAGGGGCAGAGGGAAAGGGAGAGAGAGAGACTCTTTAGCAGGCACCATACCCAGTCCTAGAGCCTAGTGCTGGGCTGGATCTCCTGACCCTGAATCATGACTTGGGTGGAAATCAAGAGTGAGACGCTTAACCCACTGAGCCACTCAGGTGCCCAATGAAGGCTACTAACTTTTTCAGAGGAGAGGCTTAGCCCCTCAGGAGGGAGGTCCTCTAGGAAGTGGGCTCTAGGCAGGCTCCTGGGACCCAAGGAAATGGTGGGGACTTGCCTCTTTCCTCCCCAAGAATGGAATTCTATTGCTGCCAATGGTTAGAATATAACCCAGGCTTCCACCAGGCTAGTGCCTTTTGAATATTTTTATAGGACTCTTCTTTCCTTTTTTCTTTTAATAACTTTATTGAGCTATAATTCATATACCATATTCACCCATTTAAAATGTACAGTGTGGGCAGCCCGGGTGGCTCAGCAGTTTAGCACTGCCTTCAGCCCAGGGCATGATCTTGGGGCCCCCGGATCAAGTCCCACGTCAGGCTCCCTGCATGGAGCCTACTTCTCCCTCTGTGTCTCTGCCTCTCTTTCTCTCTGTGTGTGTGTCTCTCGTGAGTAAATAAAATCTTTTTTAAAAAGTGTACAGTGCAATGGTTTCTAGTATGTCTATGGAGTTGTGCAGTCATCACCACAATCTAATTTTAAGTAATTTTTGTTACCCCTAGAAGCCACAGCCATTAGCAGTCACCAGTCCTTTACCTCTACCTGGCAGCTACTAATCTCCTTTCAATCTGGACATAAAAATAGAATCATATAATGTGTGGTACCTTTCTCTTTTTTCTTTTCTTTTCTTTTGTTAAAGATTTTATTTATTCACTTGAGGGAGAGAAAGAGATCCGAAACAAGCAGAAGGTAAGGGCAGAGCGAGAGGGAGAAACAACACTGCCCCAACAGGGAGCAGGATGGGGGCTCCATCCCAGGACCCTGAGATCATGACCTGAAACTGAAGGCAGATGCTCTACTGAGCCACCCAGGGCCCCCATTGTGTGGTACCTTTTTCTAAATCGAAAGGACACCAGGTGACACTCTGATCTGCTAGCACTACAGGCCCCTCTTCTCTTTACCCCATCAGTTCAGTAAACAGCTTCTTCCACCTGCTTGCTGACGTACGCAATTCTTCTAATCACTTCTGTAAACGGGAGGCCTGGGTGGAGTGTGGGAGGCGTGACACAAGGCACACCTTGATCAGACAACCAGATTGAAATGCGAGTGCATCCGGGAAGGGGTAGAAAGAGCAGTGGCGGGAATGCACGCGTTGGGCGAGGCTGCCGGGCAGCAATCCCGGTTGATGACTAGGTCACCCCCTTCTTACCACAGGGCCCGCCACCCCACGCGCCCAGAGGAGAGCAGGGGGCCAGAGGACACAGTAACCTGCACCAGCCTGGCCGGCACCAGGGCCAAAGACGGCTTAGGACTCGTCTAGCGGGGACGGGCTGCTGATTGGGAGGCATCATACCGGGCCCCTTCCAGCAGCGGCAGGGAGCAGGCCTCCCCTGTGGCTTCAGGGCAATTCCACGCCCCTTGCGGGAGCCCCAGCCGGGGGTGGGGGTGGGATGTGGAAATCGCGGGCCTGGGGCGGCCGGGGGCTGCAGGGTGCGCCAGCAGGTGAGGCCCCAAGGCGAGGCCAGCAGGTGAGGCCGAGACCCTCCGCAAGCCTCGCCTTCTCAGCACTTTAAAAAGTGGAGGAGTTTGCTCGGGCGAAGCCTTTCTCTGCAAGCTTCCCGGCAAAGGGGGCGGAAGAGCGGGAGCCGACGGCCCGGGGCAGGAGGTCGGGCGGGTCCGGGCGGGGCGCCGCGTACTCACAGTCGGGCGAGGCCGGCCCGCGGGCCGGGGCAGCGCAGGGCGCCGGCGGGCGGGCAGCGGCAGGGCTCCGGGCAGGGCGGCCCAGGGCGCGCCCGCGGCGGCAGCAGCAGCAGCAGCAGCACCGGCAGCACCGGCAGCACCGGCAGCAGCGCCGGCCCCCGCGGCCCCATGGCTGGCGAGCTGAGCGCGGGCTCTGGCGGCTGCGCGGGGGCCCCGGCCGGCCCCGTGCGCCCGCTCCCCGCCCCTTGGTTCCCCCCACCCCGCCCTGGCGGCGGCGACCCCTTCATCACCCCCCTCTGGCCTCTCCCTGGCCGGCCTGCCCTCGGCACAAGGTCAGGAGAACGTGGGGACTGAGAGCGCCTCGGACGGGGGCAGGGGGCTCTGACCTCTTACCAGGCTCTGCTGTCACCGAGCGTGAAGCGGAGGGAGATTTGTCACCTCCAGGGATCCTCTGTCCCGCCCAGATGCGCTTCCTCTCCCGGGTTCCCAGCCCCAAACCCTTTCTCCTTCTCCCCCACCAACTCCCTCTGCACAAGTAATCTCTGTCCTCGCAAGTTCCCAAGTAGTTTCTCTCTCTCACTCTCTCTCTCTGTTCTTTTTTTAAAGATTTTATTTATTTAGGGCAGCCCGGGTGGCTCAGCGGTTTGGCACCTGCCTTTGGCCCAAGGTGTGATCCTGGAGACCCTGGATCGAGTCCCACATCGGGCTCCCTGCATGGAGCCTGCTTCTCCCTCTGTCTCTGTCTCTGCCTCTCTCTCTCTGTGTGTGTGTGTCTCTCATGAATAAATAAAAAAATCTTTTTTTCTTTTAACCAGGCATCCCCCTCTTTGTGTTTTTCTTGCTCAACACCACTTTTTTCTTTATAGTATAGCTATATGAATCTGTTCTATATCTCCACCATAGACTGTGACCATCCCGGAGAACAAAATCCAGTTCAGATATATTTTTCTATTCCTGGCTTCTCCATGTTGAGTCTCTAGTAAAGATTTGTTGAATGAATGAAAGTGCTATGATAACCTACAGCAACTGCCCCAGGGAGAGGCCCCTTACAAGCTAGGCCCTGTGACAGGTGCCCTCCCTCTGGTTATGTCTAAGCTTCACAACAAACTGGCCGGATGTTTGCAACAAGAAAAATGATGTCCAGAGAGGTTTTGTGACTTCCCCAAAGTCACATAGTTCTTAAGAAGTGGAAACCTGTTTTTTTTTTATTTTAATTTATTTATTTTTTATTTATTTATTTTTTTAAATTTATGATAGTCATACAGAGAGAGAGAGAGAGAGGCAGAGACACAGGCAGAGGGAGAAGCAGGCTCCATGCACCGGAAGCCCGACGTGGGATTCGATCCCGGGTCTCCAGAATTGCGCCCTGGGCCAGAGGCAGGCGCCAAACTGCTGTGCCACCCAGGGATCCCTGGAAACCTGTTTGAGCTCACTTCTATCACCCACTTTATCTTACCCGTGTAAAAAAATTCTATAAATTCTATATGATCTGCATACAAAGAATGTAGAAGACAATTTTATGGTTACCTATGGGAATGCATAATTTCCCCTACTCAGTTTCATCATCAAAACATTTTTCCTTCCTCCTCTTACAATGACTCTGTTTGGACTCTGGAAATCCTGGAATCTTGCAGGAAGAAGTGGACTTTGAGAGTCTGGAAGGTGTCTAAGACTCTACAGACAAGAAGTGAAGGAACAGATTTCTTTCTTTCTTATTTGAAACTAACTCTCAGGGTCAGACTGGCTCAGTCACAAGTATGTAGTCCGTTGTGAGTTTTTTGCCCAAGGAGATTTTTAAAAATTATTATTATTTTTTTAAAAATGGGCTTTCCCCTCATTGTGCTAGATGGCATGAAAAACAAAGCTTACTAGATTTTTCTCACCCTTTCATACCTCTGCATATGCTATTCATTTACCTGGAACGATCTTCTCTTCCTTTCCCATATCCCATTAGTTAAACTCCTGGTTGTCCTTGAAGACTCAGCTCAATGTCATTTTCACTGTAACACCTTCTCTGACACAATCTAGCTGCATCTGTGCCCATGATACCTGATTCTATAGTCTGTAATGTAACACATTGTAATTTTGGCTTTAGTTTTCCTTCTCCTGTTTATTGATCTTAATATTGCTTGAACATGTCACAGCTTCTAGCTCCTCATAGGTGCTCAGTCTATATCTATTGAATAACAGAATGAATAAATGAAACCCAGGTGCAGACCTATAGCATATGTTTAGCAAATCATCTGAGAAGAGCTTAATAGCTTTGCTTGATTTATTCTCAACCACACTGGATCAATCTGGACAGGTATCAGGTAATTACTCATGACTTTGGGGTCAGATATTCTCTCCTATTTTAATATGGCAGATTTTGGTAGAGAAGTTGGAGTAGCACTGGGGTTTTCAAATCTTTTCACCATGTAGCTTGAGTTGTAGGAGAGAAGGAATGAATAACTCAAGATGGCTGAGTGGTATTTATTTCAAACCTTAAATTTCATGTGGCCTTTTCTTTTTACTTCGTAGCATATTTGTTATGGAAAAAGAATGGTTGCTTCTACCTGCACCTGAAGAACCATTTGATTCCCTGCTTGGGTACACCTGGGGGTTGCTTATGCTTCAGTAGGAAAAGGACTAGGCCACCTGGGCATCTGGATTTTTTTTTTTTTTCTGTTCTGTCCACAGTGTGACTTGGTCTTTGGTTTCTTCATCTAAGAGGAGGGTTGGTGTTCACAATCCCTAAGACTCTTCTAGCTCTAAAATGCAAAGACTTTGTTGACGACTCTTACTATATTAGTGGTGGAAGGAGTCAGATTGTGGACATTGACTTCTTACTATTTGTCTTGGATTAAAAATAAAATCATGTTTATGAAGAGGATGAGTTCATTTTGAAGAAAACTCAAAACTAATGAGTTTTCATAACATTTTTCTGTGATTAATTTCAGTTGGATTTTAATTATCATGTCAGTTCTTGCAATGTACCTATTTTAACAAAATTACATTGAATTGTTTGTTATAACCACAAACATTTGTTACAATGGAAGTTACCTATCCTACTCATTAATATGTGACCTATTTAGAGGAGATATTTTTAAATCTGAAAGAATTCTGTGTACTATAACTATGCTTATAGTTACTTTTGTTACAGAACTTCAAAAGAGCATGACCCATGGGGATTGCTATTATATTTTACTGACAAACTAAAGTTCATGGAATTCACAAGAAGTTTATCCTGCCTTAGAGATATAGAAATATCTGACACCACAACTCAGAAATCCTAATAAAACTCTCCAAAATTCTAGAGCAGGGCTTCTTATATTTTAGGATGAAAAGTATAATTTGGGAAATTTTAAAGACAAATACTCCTCAAAGACACCCTCCCCCAGAAAGATTCTGATTCAGTTCGTATAGAGTGGGGCCCAGGAGTCTGAATTTTTTAAGAGGGGGGAGGGACGGAGGGAGAGGGAGATAGAACCTGAAGCAGCCTCCAACACGCATCGTGGAGCCCAATGTGGGGCTCAATCTCACAACCCTGAGATCATGACCTGAGCTGAAATCCAGAATTGGTCGTTTAACTGACTGAGCCACACAGGCACCCCTGGCAGTCTGCATTTTATTTTATTTTTTAAAGATTTACTTATTTCTTCGAGAGAGAGAGAGAGAGAGAGAGAGAGAGAGTGTGTGTGTGTGTGTGTGTGTGTTGGGGGGGGTGGCAGTGGTGGAGGGGCGGCAGAGGGAAATAGAGAAGCAGACTCTGTGTAGACTCCCTGCTGAGTGGTGAGCTGGATGATGGGCTTGATCCCATGACCCATGAGATCATGACCGGAGCTGAAGTCAAGAGTCAGACTCTTAACCAACTGAGCCATTCAGGTGCCCCTAGGAGTCTGTATTTTAATAAGCTCCCATGTAGTTCTGATTCATGGGTTACCCAGAGCATAACTGGTGAAACACTAAATGGGAAATTTTAGAATTCAATATGCCTTGGGAAGACAAAGCTTGAGAATCCATACTAAGGACTCTGAATAAAGCCTAAGAATTTTGATGCATTGTTAAAGAAACCTGGCATATGTAAGCACATGCATACAAATAATAGTGTGTATATGTGTAAAATTGCACAATTGATTGTAATCTTGAGGCATTTTAAAAAAAGTAGCAGTTTATTTTAATTTTTAAATTTAATTTGTTGGGAGGGGGAGTGAACAATTTCACATGATCATGTATCCTATTTTTCTTTTCTTTTCTTTTCTTTTCTTTTCTTTCTTTTCTTTCTTTCTTTCTTTTAGAAGGGAATCTTATTTTTCTTTATGCCTGACTAGATCAGAACTCAATAGCCCTTGATGTCGCGCTAAGACCTTAGAGTTGGAGGAAATTAGCAAAATAATAAAAAAAAAACCTCAAGTAGAATAGGCAAAACTTTCTGATTCTTGAACATATGTCTTGTTAGTACCATAACAGATATTTGTTCCCCTTAAAAGCAGTAGTTTTACCTTTCCTTCAGAAGAAAAGGTGAATGTAGGGCAGAGGAAAAAAAATGTGTAAGAAAAGAAAAATACAGTTACACCTATGAGCTTCTCACCTTGCCACCTGGAACAAAACAAAACAAAACAAAAAAGGTTATCCCTAAAAGTTACAGTGAGAAGTTTTGTGCATCCCCTCTAGTAGCTTGCTTGGAAATTTTATCCTCCATTTCACTGTGTAGATGGTGTGAGATCAGAGATATGATCAGCTGTGTCCACCTCCAGTGCTGCTCTGGGGCTTTTGTGGCCTTAGGAGGAATCAACGAGAAACTGCAGGCTGATGAGTGCCTGGGCCCTGGCCCCAGGGTAGGTCTGGGAGTGGAGAGAGAGAGAACTTTCTGAGACCTGAGAGACTTTCTCTAAGGCTGACACACAGAGAGAGCTAGAGAAGGGGCTTGGCCTTTCTGGTCATTATGTTGCTGAAGGATGTGAATGCATTGGGGGTTGTTGTCCTTATCTCATGAAAAAAGCCTATCTGCCCTGATAGTGACTAAAGCTACAAAGAGAAAAACAGAACTGAGAGACGGATGGGGGGCAAACAGTCAAGCCAGGACCTCCCTTGGACTTCCCCAGTGATGAGCCAATATGTTGCCTCTTTTGCTTAATTAAGGTCATTGGAGTTGAGTCTCTCTCACTTGACACCAAAATTTCTGATCTCT